CACCTTCCCGGCAGGCGAGCCCGCCCTTGCCCTGGCAGGCCGGGCGGCAGGCTGCCGGCTGGGGGGCCGGCCTGTTGCTCTCGGCCTTGCACAGCTCCTGCCTGAAACCGCTGAACTTCTGGAAAGGTGAGCTCTAGGTGGGGTTCGGGACTAGGGGCAACGTGTCGCCTCGGTCCTTACACCGTTACCGCCTTCTGGCGTGCCATTTGCCGGAACGGGGAGAAGGCGCTTTCTGATCTATGGGCAGAGAGAGGCAGAGACCGTTATCAAAATCGTGCTCTGTAAGCAGGCGCATTTACGTACTTCATTAATGGCATCCTGAATGACTAAAAGGGGGAAGTTGGAAAAACATTATATTGATAATTGTGCGTTTTGTTCTGTTTTTTTGCACTTGACTGTATCATAGAACTCATATACGTGATCATATCATAAGCTGATCAAGCGCCATCTTAAAACTAATTAGGGAACACTTTTTCTTAACAGGATCCAGGGTGAAGATTTCTCTGGTTTCGTCCGTATGTTTACCTTTTGAAAACTGGGTCAGGAGTGAACCCCCTGGGTCTTTTCAAAATACGTCAGATGATGCACCCAGGCATTGAAGAACTCACCATTGCTAAATACTTCTGAAAATGTGAAGCCCACATACGTAAAAAACTCCAAACCAGTAAGTATTGGCAGAGTTATTCAGAGAAAGTAGCAGAAGTTGGAGAGGGAAGGCTCAAGGACTGAATAAACAGCCCATCTTTGGAACTCTGCTGATGTATTCAACTCAGTTGACAGTTTCGCAGGTGAGAGGTTGTCCTCACCTCCATCTTAGTCTGCAGATACAAACTAGGAGAATTTTGCAACACGGGGAATGCAGAATTGTCACTATGCAGAAACGCCGAGGGGGCAGAAGTACTCATAAAAAGGGATTTGAGTGCTCAACAACATACCAATCTGCTCACATGTATCAGTTCCACGGGGAAAGTAGAGGGTTCCTCAAACACAAAGACATCTGGAGGGATGCCCAGAGAGGAATTGGACTGAGCTTGAATAGTGGGAAGAAATGGAAATGAGGCTGGAAAAATGAATTGAAGAAATGGGGGAGTCCTGTTTGGGGAAAGGAGAAAACAGCAAGATAACCTTTTATTTTTCTGCATAAAGAATTAAATACCCTATAAGCAATCTATTTTCAATCTCTAGTCTCTTGCTGATACCAAAATGGTCCACAGGACCTAGGATGTCTAAAGTGTACAAACAAGAATTGGGACGAAAAGCCATTTGTTAGATAAGCTTGTCACTTGCTAATATGGTTATCTGTTGTCAAGCAGCTGTGGGTTAGAGTCACAGCAGGGCCTGGCATTACAGCAAGTCTAAGTGCAAGCACTTTCAGACAAAAATGAGTTGAGAAATTTAATTGGGAAGTTTTGGAGCAACTATGCTTAGCAAAGACCCCCTCACATTGGTTGCTTGAAGAGAGGAAATGGTTTGCAAGGGCATAAGTGAAATCATCAGAACAGAAACTACCTGTCTCGACCTTATTGATGCCAGCACCGGTATTAGCAAATGAGCGTTACCTGCACCATCTGACACTGAGCATTTTTCTCACTCTGTTAGCTGAAGAAAGCCTCAGAGCTGAACCGGAGAAGGAGGGCAATATGATGGGGGGATACCCATTGTACGGGGTAATGATGCATAGTAAGACATGTGTTTTCTTGTGTCCCAAGTTAGAAATCTGGTGTGCTGCCCTGTGACACAGCCGGTCTGCCTCTGGCCATCTCAGCATGTGCCTTACTCACTGTCACAACCACTTGTCAGGTTTCGCACTTAGTGAGGTTACAAGGAGAGAGTGAATTACGCCGCTCCTTGCCAGGAGCGTTTATTCCAGGCTGACTCAGCCGCAGGCACCGCATGGTTTCAATGTGTCCAGCAAACAGTTGCAGCGACATCTTTATATCCCTGTATTGTGTAATATTCAGCTGCCCTCCTTCATTGTCGGTCCTCCCCAAAATGTGGTCCCGCTGGTAAGATCTTACTTCGTAAATGATGGGAGGAGAGCAGGGATTGTTACAGACAAGGTACAGCTTGGCTTAGGACTGTGACATGAGATTTGTGCGCTCTCGGATACACACCAGGGACATCATTGTTACCTTGGTTACGTACTTCCCATTTTCACATTTCATGAATGAAAATGTAATGAAAAAGCTGCAAAGTGCAAAAAAAAAAGTGTACAAAAGAGGAGCATTTCAAAACCAGGCTATACGCAAAATGTGGTTTTTTAACTTGATCCTGCTAAAAATACAGGTAGAGGGTCTACCTCTTCAGTCCTGCTCCCACTGTAAGATTTCTCCCAGCAGTTACAGAACATGAAGATTTTGTAGGCTTCATTCAGCCTTCAATACCTGAATGTTCAGCTTCATAGATTACTTCAGAGCTGAGTTTTGCAGTTATCTGAAAAAGCAATGGGAGTACTGTGTCTAAAATTCCCATAAAACTTTTTGAAAATGCATAGCTATTTGTTTTTTAACTTTATACCTGATGCAAATATTTCCATGTGTACTTTTGGTCAAGCACCAAAGCTTCAGAAGCTTGGTTTTGTTACTCCTGAAAAGCAGAGATTAAAAAAAAAAAAGCAAATGAAGAGGAAAATGCAACAGCACCACCCTGCTGCCATCTCTTTGTCAGACGGATAATGACAAAAGATCCGCTCAAAGAATTGCAGTTGTGTAACCTCTAACTGACAAACAGAGTTTTTCAAAAGTCATCTGAAATGAAAAAGTTAGACTAAAATAAATTCTTTTTTCCCCCCAGTTCAAGCATGGCTGTTTTCAATTCTATTGAAGAAGAAATAAAGATGTTTTAACATTCCTGGTAGTGAGAAACAAGAGCAGAAGTCCACGGAGACAGTGGAAAAATTGCTTCCATGAGTAAGGGTTTCATAGCAACCATAACAACATAAGTCAGGAAGAGACTAAAAGAAATTGTTTAGTCCAGTGGTGATAAAACTTTGGCACAGGCACCAAGTCTCTAACTGACACGGATCTGGGCTGGCACCAGGGTCTCTGAGTCACAGGGCCTTTGGCAGTAAGTCTGGTGCTGAGCATCAGAAATGCACTGTTGGTCGCTGGTCTGGTCCAGCCCCCAGCAGTAAGACAGGTTTGAACATATCCAGACATCGGTGACAAATATTTGCTGGTCATGTGCTTCACAGTCTCCGGTGAGGAGTCTGTGAGGTGTCCAGGTAAGCTCTTGCCAGGGTTTCACTTCTGTTGATACACAGCCAAAATCGTTTTGCAGCAATTGAAGCTGTTTTCTTCTTGTCCTTCTCCCGGCATCCATGAGAACTGCTGGTGGTTGTCCTTTTAATAATAACATATCACATATGGAAAACTATCACCTTACTTGCTCTGAGGCTTTTCTCATCCGGACTACACAAACCCAGGTCTTTCGGCCTTCCAGCACGTATCACTGTCTGTGCTTTCCTCTTTGCTAAGAAGTTAGTGTAAAAAATTCAGTGTGAGACTCTATGGAAGGAGAAGGTAATATTATTTTACAAAATCTCTAAGTACATTGGCTTTACCCACTCACAGTCATTTTCTCAATGATTTAATTCACTTACACTCTCACACACACATACTTAGAAGAACCAAGATGTAAGTGTTCAGGTGGTCTGGCCAGGGTGACTTGTGTCCAACACAGAGGACAAGGGGGCCATGGAATCTCCATCCTTGGAGATATTCAAAAGCTGCCTGGACACAGTCCTGGGCAGTCTGCTCTAGGTGGCCCTGCTTGAGCAGGGGGGTTGGACTAGATGACCTCCAGACATCCCTTCCAACCTCAACCGTTCTGTGATTCTGTGACGGGACACCGGGAGTCAGGTCCTCATCACATCTGTTAAGCAACGACAAACTGATTTTTTGACAAGTCTTTTATACTCAAGAGCCAAAAATCACTATGGCATGATGCTTTTGCATCAGCATTTTGCTCACTTCCATCTCCACAAATTTTAGGCAAGTCTGCTCCAAGTTCCTTAAGGCCATAGTCTGTAATTCTAGCTGGGCTAAAAGGAAAAGGAATGGCGTATGTGATGTGCTGTTACCTTCTTCCCATCTTCCTCTTGTTAGAGGGTAGGGTCTTCTGCTGACAGGCAATCTGTGGTCTGGTTTTTACTGCAGTGCAGGCCTCCTTGGCTTAACAGAGACAACAGTCCTCGATCTTACTGTTGTGGACTATGTCCTTGTTCATAAATATAATCCATTTTTTACATTGTTCTCGTGCTTATGCAACTATATCCACTCATACTTCATTTCTGCCATCTTAATATTTCCATTACAAGTCAGTACCTCTGTACACAATGAAAGACATTGTCTAACCCTTTATTTTAAGGTACAGCACCCAACAACAAATACTGTATTCCAGGTAAGGACTCACCCACAGTGAATACGATTGCTGTACCGTTTTGAATGTGGTGCTCCTTCTAACATTCCCCAGAGCGACAATTACCTTTTTTTGCAGCAGCACTTGTCAACTCATATTTCTATTGCACTCTGCAATAAGTCTTAGATTAATTTCTGCAGTTCAGTTCTTTGTCAGGCTATTTCCCATTTTGTATTTCTGTAGTTGATTTTCTGCTCCGAAGTGGACATCTGTGCCCTTGCTTTTATTATATTTCCTCATTTGATCAACTCTTTCTCATTTGTCAAGATAATTTTGAATTCAAATGTTGTCTTTCACAGTGCTTGTGAACTGCTGGGGGACAAAATCCATGCTGCTTAAACCGTAGTCCTAGCAGAATAAAGACGATGAGCATCAAGAAAGCAGACAGTCAGCAAATGTGGAGGACTGGTAGGTCAAGTGTACTTAAAAATAAACTTGGAGGGAAAGTGTTTTGTGGGAAAGCTATCAGTTATTGAAAGATACTGTATTAAGGCCACTACAGCAAATTATATCAGTGCAGACAAAATTTGGGAAGAATAGCAGGAGACAAGTATCACTGTGTGAGGAATTCTTTAAGGATATGAAGGTCAAAGCGGTCCATCACTGTGGGATTCATTGCAGAATGGAGAACACAGCCGTCTTTCTGTTCTGCATTCTTAGGTGGAATGAAAGAAGTAATTATCCCAGAGACCAAACAAAGTCTATTATTTCATGTTTCATAAATCATTAGACTTTTTAATAACTGCTGGGACATTGTGCCTTTGTGTCTGAAAGCAGGTGAATTTTAAAGCATTACTGAAGGAGTTTGAAACTCAGTAACAGAAAAGAGACCGTTTGAAATGCTCTATTAGATAGCCTGCAAAGCCCGTGTTCTAATGGAAAAGTAAAATCAGAGAGAAAATAAAAACAAATAAAATGGTCATTCATCACAAGAAATTCCCTTAAGCGCACCAAATTATTCAGAAATTTACTGCATTAAAAGTCAGTAAAAGAAAATGTAGGAGAATATACTTCCAGTTCACCAAACCATATTTTTTTCCTGGTACTGTTAAATTAGTGCTTACAATCTGTTCAAGACTAGAGAAAAATGACTGTGAGGAGTTTGGAGTTCATTTTGTTTCACCAAGCTCCTGTGTTTATTTCAGTATGATTCACAGATAGGGAGAGCAGTGAAGCATTAAGGGAAATTAAAATTACCCAAACCCTGTACAGCTCTAGTATTTTTCTTTTACTTTGGTCATGTTTCCAATTGTATGTAATGCTCGAGATTTCTTAATTCTCACTCTTGCATGCAACCTCCCGTCTGAGATGACAACTTCAGTCTCTTTTGCCCTCTATTGAAGTGAATTGGTAATAACAATTGCCAATAAAATGTGAGCTACAGTATATAAAAGAGGATATAAATAATTGATCTCAGACCAGTGGCATGTGTAATTACTTCATGTAGAAGCCTCATAAGTGCTACCAAGTCTTCTGCTGGCTCCTTCTTTCGCTAGCTGTCCTTAGTATGGGATATGGACATGGTAATTATATGGCAAACTTTTTATCTAATATTTTTAATGTGTTTAATACAAAGCTTTTAATTCTTAGGAAAGGTCTATACATGGCCAATGTATATCTTAGAATAATAGACTCAGAGTTCAAATAGTTTTATTTTTCTAACACAAATGTGTGAACTCAAATAGTTCAGAATATTTAAATTTCAGGGAGTTAATGGGGTTATTTCACCGGGTAAATTACGAACAATCACATACAATCGTTTCATCCGCGATGTTCTATACTAGTTCTACAACTTTTTAATTGTACTTACAAAAAACCTGTTTCGTCCCATATCTGTCTGGACATCCCTAAGTCACAGGAAATGACTGTAGCAAATCTTACTCATTCTTCAAGAGAGAGCATGTTCTCAGTCGTCCTGCCTTACCCTGCAAGCGCACAGTAAACTACAAACATGACTGTAGGCAGGTGATATGGAAGGCAAAGTCACCTGCATGGGTTGGTTAGTTCAGGTATGGTACATTACTAACATGACTAGTCCTTTCAAAGCCAGTGCTAGTACCTCTGCGTGTTGCTGCCCTTTGCATGCAGAATGACCTGCGGTGTCTGGGCATCATGTTCAACTGATGGAGAAGGTATGTCCCACGCTTGTGAGACTGCAAACAGATTTTGTCTTAGCGCTCTGAGAAGATACAAAGAGCTACATTTAGTACTGACCTGAACCCCATGGAAATTGTTAAGCTAATTTGAGTAGTGTAGTGCAGCATTACCCTGTCCAAGTGCAGGTAGAGTCTGGATATGAAAGTAAAGGAGAGGAGAACACACAACCACGTCGTGTAACGGAGTGTTCAGGCTGCACTGGGCAGTGCTATCAGTGGGATATATATTCTCGGAGTAAAAACCTGAACTTAACTTGTGACAAATATGCATACAGGAGTTTATCGATGATAAGGTCAGAAAGGGTTGTCCTGGCACACTCGGTCTAACTCATGCTGGTTACATCCCCTTCCCTCAT